TGGGGTTAGCAGCAGACAGTTCTGCAGCACTAGGAACCACAGCCCTCATAGTGGGGGGAGGGGGTCCAAAATTACCAGATACAAGCAAAAAATAGATTGTGATCTAGCATACCTGAACAAAATGTTCATCACTATCTCTAAACTCCCTGGCTAAGATGGTTCTTCAAAACCAGTGCGGTCTAGACCTCTTATTCTTAAAACAGGCTTGTTTTTAAAAAAAAGTCTTAATCAGCTCAGAAAATACCTAGCTGATAAAAAAAAAAAGAGAGAGACATTATCAACAGAGTTGATATAAAAAATTTGTTCTCCACCACCCCATGGCTGACTACCCTATTCTCAGCTCTGGCAGGACCCCTGATTTTTCTCCTACTGGCCATTACTATTGGCCCCTATATGATAAACTGTTTAATACATTATATTCAAAGGCAAGTCCAATCTATTAAATTAATGGTTATACATTCCCAACACAATGATCTACAAAATGTAGATAAAAAAGGTAACTTTTAAAAGGATGACATGAATCAAGGATTTGATTCATGCACTAAAACCAGTGGGGAATGTTGTGGCTTGGCATAACTAATGCCATCTTGAGCCTTGCATTTAACTACTCCCCTGTATTTGACTCAGAAAAATGGGAAATTACTCAGAGTATAAGTCCCATGAAAAAAGCAGAATGAGCTGTATCCACAGGAGAAAAATTAACCTGCTCAACAAAAGAAGCAGGATACAGGTGTCAACTGAAAATTAATATTAATGAAAGATTCAAGCTAAATTGTTTCCAACAGGATGTCTTTTGTGGTTCTTCTCTCTTTTAAAAACACTGTAACTTTCCAGTTTGGGGTCACCTGTTTGGGCCCTGAACTGGGACAGGGAGTCTGTATACAAGTGGTCCTGAGCTTAGTTAATTAAATTCCAAATTTAGCAATTTGTCTGCTTGGATTCCTATATTGTTGTTTATGAACTGACCTCAAGAGCAGGATACCAGGATAACAATAATAAGTACCATAGTATATCTTGTTATCTTCACAATAGTTGTCCATTCAATCAGGTATAGAAAAATTAAACCCAAAACAAAATACTATAAAATCAATCAAAACAGAATATTGAATAGAGCAAAAACCAACAGAAAACAAAACAGTGAAAACAATATTGGATTTCAAAGACAAGATAGAAAGAATCCTCCATTTTTGCTATACTGCATCCTCCCAAGAGATGCTCAGACTGCTGGCCTCAGGTCAGCATAATCAACCAAACAACACAAGCATTTAGTTGCTTTGGGCACCTTAGCTGCTATCAACCCAGGCTGACCTCGGGGTGAAGGTTTTCACACTGCTCTTGTTTTTGGCATGGCGCGTTGCCACTATTGCCCAAGTGACTACTAGCCTGATATCTGGACCTTCTGCGGTGTAGTTTCTTCATGGAATAAACTTCCTGCTTCTTGCAGGGAAGAGGTACTTTTCTGAATGAGACGTGAGTGGGAATTCTAAATAATATTTTAATTATGATTTCAGCTTCTCTTCCCTTCCTTCCTCCAAGGCTTCGGGCATCCTGAAGTGACCTGCTTCCTAGTTACCCTCTTTCCACCCCTGCTTTATTTCAGTGTAATCTGCTTTCTACCTCTACAACAAGTCAGCACTTTTTTCCTCCACCTTCTTTCCCCCTTCACACTTCAGACTGTGTGATTCAGGGTGTAGAATCTTCACTGTAGTTTCATCAAAGACTGATTTTTCTGGTTCATATTTTAGTAATTTGTATTTCTTGGGGGACTTAAGAGGGTTGAAATATGTCTATCTGTCATTTTTACTCTGGAAATCTCTTTTGCCTTAATGAGTTATAAAATTTGTGTTTACAGGACAAATAAGTTCTCCAGTTGCTTTTCCTTTAAAACAAAGATGTGTAGATCAGTGACATAAGCACCTGCCTGGCAAGTGTGAGGTCATGAGTTTGATCCCCAGTACAAAAAACAAAAAACAAAAAAACAACAACCACCCAAGGACACATAATTATTTATCAAAGGTAAATTATACTTATAATTGCATATATTTATTTTAATTGTACACTAACAGACATACCTAGAAACGAGCCTGTAATTAAGTACTCTGCATACTGCTAAGCCATAAATAAACACATTAAAATTGTTAAGGGTAAAATAGCACAAAGCAAATAAAAATAACTTGAATTATTTTTTGAGATTTTAATAAGCAATATACAAAAGTATAAAAAAAATTCACCAGTGCTTGCTAGAATTGGAATCACTCAATTCAAACATTTTGGTGGGCAGGCTGATAAGGCTTGATCCATTTTTATGTTTAATGCAAATTGTATAATTTTCGGCAATCATGGCCAAATACTTGAAAATAAGTATTTGGATCATTTTTGAGAGGATGAGTACTAAGATTTATTTTAGAAATTAATGGTCAAGGTATTTAATTTTTTAAAATGAAATTTTAAAATAATGAGACTTATTTATCCTAGAAAAAAAAAGAATAGGAAAGAAAATAATAATATACTTTCTTTAAAAGTAGCCTTAAAAATACACCTTTATAAATAATTTTGAAAAGTCATCATTTAAATGTACCATAATACTCACCTCTGGGTCACGCAGCTATATACATGGAAACTGGAAAGAACCTAAAAACCTTTTCAGAAGTTACTTTTGAAAAGATTTTTATATTTTCCTCAGGACACTGTTCATCATTATAATGAAAATCAGTAAGCCCATGCAAGGTTATTCCTATGACAACCAAATACTTGTTTTGCAGGAAATAATATAGATAATCCCTAACTTACGTTCTGCTTATGGTCTCTGACCCAGTCTGTGACAGTATAAATGTGACGCCATGCAGTATATGCAGTATTTGCCACATTTCACGGTTTGGTCTTTTCCTGTTTGGTCATCACCTGCTTAGGGAGGCTCACTCAGGATGTGTGATGGTGGCAGCGGGAGCCTCAGCGCCCAGCCCTGTGTGAGCAGAGAGGAGGCTGCGATGCTCAGTCGGGCGGTGTATTGACTGCACTGCCTACTGCACTATGTCCTCTTAGGAAAGGTTTATCAGGACCTAATGGGCCAGGGAATATCTATTATGTATTTATTTCTTCAATCTTTATTGCTGATATGTTTATATACATAAAATATATTAAAGATGGGGTGTTTTGAAAACATTTTTACAAAATATAGCAGACACCTTAAAAAAATACCAATTAGTACAATTTACTCCCATTGCTTTTTAATGTAGTTTTCTCACATCTGAGATCACACTGCATGGAGTAAGAGGCTCCATGAATGGAGCACTCCCTAAGGCCCAGGCACCTGCCTCAGTTTGCATGCATGGTATCTGTATTGTATCAGCAAGAATTTTAGGACCTTTTTACAGAAGGGAAAAAGGAACGATGATAGTTTAAATAAACTGGTCAAGACCACGCAGTAATACAGTGTGCAGCATGGAGTGCGGCATGGGAACCCAATGTGTTGCCTTTTCTTTTCTCTCTCTTTTTTCTGTCTTTTCTTGTGCTCTTTCCCCTTTTCTTTCCCTTCCTGGGGATTGAACCCAAGGCTTGTGCATTACCACTGAGTTACATTTCTAGTTCCCCAATCCATGCTTTGCATCACTGTTTACCATGTTAGTTGATTTTCATGTCATTAACAAACCACGGTAAGTATCACGTAAATGGGGCCGTCAGTAGGATCATCTCACTGACACTCGCAGCCCATGAGTAATACTATTTTTAAATTTTTTATAGAAAAATGAAATGAAATGTAGTTTAAAGTGCATTTAATTTCCAAAGACTTTGAATATTTTCATATGTTAATTAGATATTTGTATTTCTAAAGAAATGTATTTATCAAATAGGCACAATGTAAACCAGACACTTAAACGATGGAGGTGCAGCATGCCAGGGGTATTGAAAGACCTTAATACAAAAAAGAATGAAAATATTTTGACTTGTTCCCTTTAATGGTTTCAAATCAAACTTGGTCAGCAAGGTAGGAAGTGTGTTTATTTTTGCCGCATACATGTTATTGTATTAATAGAGATAAACTAGTAATTAATATTTAAATTCTCATGTATAAATGATTTGTTAAAAATTCCTCAGAATGATTGATCCTGACTTAAAATTCGTTTTTAAAATCTTGATTACACTATTAATTTTAATATCTAAAGAAAAATAGCAAAAGTATTTGTAAAGCAAAGGTAAATGCTGAAAAAGCCCTTATTAAAATTTCACACAATCATGGCTGATGCAAGTTGAATGTATTTCCAGTGCTCAGATATTCTGATTTCCTTTTATAATCCTATTATTTTTATTGCATTCTATCTAACCAGGGAGTTATAGCCACTGATTCATTTCATCAGATTTATTCAGTGACAATGCCTCAAAAATATTCCTAGGCAAATTATTTCCTTGAGAGTGAATCTAACTTTGGTTTAGCTTCCTAAGTGATTTTAATTCATGTATTTTATACCTTGACAAATACAATTATAAAAAAGAGAAAAAAGCCATTAAAGGCATATAATTATGAAACATAGAGAAAAATATTACATACTTCCAAAAAGACATTTTTAGTTGTTGCTCATGAATTATTAGACAGAAGTGATGAGAGTATGTCACAGTGAGGTCTGTGCCTGTAACCCACCGAGGACAAACAGACCAGGGTGTGCAGAAGGGACCCCACATTCTGAGGTGGAAACAGGCCATGGCCTCTCGCCACCTGGGGCCTGGGTCACACAGGCTTGGCTGCTGGCCTGCTTCACGGAAGAAGCTGTGCTTCCACCGCAGCACTGATGTTAAATTAAAGCTGTGCACAGAGAAATTCCCAAGTCAAATGTGGTCTCTGCAGAGCTATCAGTAAAGTAATAATCATATGCTGCACTTTATACTAAAGTATAGAAAGTTATACATTTGCTTGTTCAGGAAAGAATTCAAAATTATCTCATTTATTGTAGGGCACATCATTTTTCTTACTTACATAAATAAATGGAAATTGCTAGGTTACTTACCCCAATGTTAAACATTCCTGCAAAATACTCCATATTTGCTTGAATGAACCAAATGTTGCTTAAACCTAGTGCATCACTTCTCTTCTTAGCACGGATTAATGATAATTCTTTGTTTTCTATTAATATAACCTATATTTTACCCAGGAAAAAACAGTATATTCAGTAACATTATTCAGACTTCAGTTCAAGCATTATTACTTAGCCTTAATAACACATACTCCATAATGAGCCTCTCTCCTGTGCTAGGAATTATGCCAGTTACCCTGGCACGGACATGAAAGAAGTCCTTGAAGCCTTACAAGTTAAATGAATGATACTTGCTATCAGTGAAACAAGTATGGCAGTACAGTGGGACAAGCATTTTTGTGCTGTTTAGTTTTGAGATGGGGGGTGTGTGTGTGTCTCTCACTAAGTTGCCCGGACTGGCCTAGAACTCAGGATCCTCCTGCCTGAGTCGTCCAAGTGGCTGGGATTACAGGCATGCGCCTACACAGCAAGCTTATGAGAGTATTTAATGAGAGACCAAAAATGTGTAATGGAAGCACCCAGCGTTGATAACCAAGAGGTTTTTATGGGGAATTAACATAACTGAGGCCTACAACACGAACAGAAATCAGCTAGTGGAAGGAAGAGTGCTTAAGTCAGACAAAACACATGTGGAAGCCCAAGACGGGACAGAGTGCAGCGTGTCTGAAGGCCTGAGAAAGCTGGCATTGCCGGGCCATGTGCAATAATGACAGCGGGCTGGAGAAGGGGTGGAGAGGTACTGGGAGCCGGACAGTGCACCGTGGGAAAAACGAGATTCTGCCAGCAGGAATGAGCGAAGCCCAGGCGGGAGAGGTGAGGCCGAGGGCAGGGAGCCGTTAGGGGCCTCCAACCGGAACCGAGAGCAGTGAAGATGCCTCCTCGCTGTCCCCGCTGTCCCACTTCTGGTTCCTGTTTGGCCCTTACCTAGCCTGGATCCTCTGGTGTAAAATCTGTTAGTGTCCCCTTGGTGTTGAAGACTTCCCAGTCTTTATTCTAGCCTGTCCTTTTCCCAGTCCCCACCTGTCCAAGCCTCTAGGAGACACTAGGAAAGCAAAAAAGAGACTACATCCCTGACTCTACCTTGCCAGGAATCTGCTCTATGAACTCTCTTCCTCTTCATCATGAAGGTCATTTTCTTTCATAATAAAACACATTTCTCTTAAATTTCCTGGTTTATTTAGTCTTCTGTGTCTAAGAAGACCATTCTCTCTAACCATTCTCTTGTGTGTTATTCTGACCAGTGTACTGGCTTGGCAAATTTTTCCTCCTGCAAATATTTAGTATAGTTAGATCACATTTTCCAGAGAGCTCAGAAAGACTGTCTCACTGAACATGTATTTATTTAAAAAAAAAAAAAAAAAAAAAGAGGAAGAAGATGCCCTCCCAACATTTTTGTGTTAAAAGATGGTCACTGTGGGGAATTAATTTAACATGGTGGGAGACTAAGTGCAAACTTCTAGCCAACGGTGGCAACAACTAAACACAAGCATACATTTACTTAAAAATGTACTCCACAGTCACTAAAATATGGACATGTGTAAAGCTATATTATTGAGTGGAAGCAGGGATTACAACTACATTTGCATTTTTAGAATTTCTAACTGTAATGTCCAAATGAACAAGGCTTTAATGAGAACAGAAGAAGAAACACATTTGATGGACTGATAAGTTTAGGTTTCTTTTTTCCCCCAAATCTTATTATCTTATTATAACTTTGATGCAGTGGATCAAAAGAATACCAGAGAAACATGCTAATGTAAGTTTCAGAAGCCAGCATATCTAGCTATCATTATGTTGGAAATTAAATAAGTTTAATCATAATTATTTTATTTAACAATGGAAGAGCCATGTATTTTAAAAAGTATTTAAACACCTACACCTTTTTAAAAAGCTGATAACTGTTTAGTAGTCATATTTTATCTCTCCCCCCCCTTCTTAGGATTCTTACCTTAGAAGTTTACTTCAAAGGCAAAAGAAAATGCCTGTGCTGCATATTTCAGTTGGGGGAGTGACTGGGAACTCAAGAGCAAGGATAAGCCCTCCTACAAAATGTTGCCTTTTATTTATTATGTAGAATTTACCTGGCATGATGGCAGCACGTGAGCAAGAACAATTCCAAGGTGGCCCTGGAAAAGTCAGCAAGAAGGAAGTTAACTTTGGTTCCTGTGGTTTCTGCTCATTACAAGACAGCAAAAACATGGCTTTGTGTGTGACACAGAAAAGTCACACAATCTTGAAAAGAATAAAAAAGACATGTGATACCCCACCACTGCAGAAATCCACAATTCTGTCACCACGTTTGGCCTGACTCATGACCACATAAACAAGGTTGTTTAGCTGTTGCTGCTTCCTCAAAGCTCGGTCACCGGTCATTCGGCCTGGGAAAGACGAGAGATGAGGAAAACATTACCCACCGTGAGGGACGAAGTGTTGGAAAGGGCCTCTAGAGCACAGGAAAAGGACATGCACAAACAGAGGAATGCAGTGGATTTCACGAAACTGACTACAGGGGTCTAGACCACTGCAATGCAGAGATGAATTCTACTTTTACTTCGCTTATCTAATATATCTTTTGATGAAAAAAATGTCCTCCAGTGATGGAAATGCTAACTAAACATTAATTCAGGAGCATAAGCAACATGCGCAATAAATTTTAGCTAGATGGAAAAGAAAGCCAGAAACCATTATCTCCCTTTATCACTTTCAGACATACATAGCAAAGTTGATGTGCTTTCAATACATTCCTTAAATTTCCTTATAGAGAGATGCAAAATAAATAAAAGCTTTTTTGCCATTTTACTGGCACATTCTTGAACCCTGTATTCTCCGGTCAGGGTATTTGCATTGTTTGAACTGAATCAGTGGAAGTTGTATTTAGAGAGATCTAGCTAAAATGGTAAATTTCTGGGCTTTTTTCTCTTTTTTCTTGCTTTGAAGTTTCCTTTCCTCATGAGTCAGACATAGAAATTTAATGCAATTATAGATTAAAGATAGGGCATTTCCAAGTATGAAATGCCTTGGGCCTAACAGCATGAAAATAACTTAACCTCACTTCAAAAGCCACTAGGCAAGTCCACAAAAATATCTCCAGAAAGACAAAAACACTATTTGTTTTCACATATTTCAAGTGCATTCTTTACAAGAGTGGTTTGATAAAAAATTTTAAAATGATACCAAGGTTTTTTGGGTTCATTTTAACAGAAAAATAGCGTATTACTTTTTCTTTCTTTTTTCATGTTACTAAATTAAATAAAAAGCATTAGGAGATTTTACCTTAGGGCAAAATAGAAAATGACAACCTCAGAATTCAAGGGTAACCTCAGAATTCAAGGGTAAACATATATATATATATTTATATATAACACACATGCTATGTTCACAATTCTTAACTTCCATAGCCAGCATACAAAGTATTGTATCTTTTTTATGTCAGTGGATCTGTCTACACTGTATACTCTAATAGCTGCATGGTATTTCTTTAACTATACACCCTAATTATGTAACCAATTCCATATTATAATGATACCATCATTACACAGATCTTTAAATACAATCTCAATTATTGAGCACAGTCTATAAAGTGAATTTCAAACACAGAGAGGTTGTAAGTCAATAATCTGGTGGTTTCATTTGTGAAGATAGTTGAATGTGGCTTTTAAAGGAATTATCTATATTTTTTTCTAATAAAATAATTGTAAACAATTTAAACATGAAGTGAAAGCCCTTGTAATCCCATCCTTTATGGATAACCACTCCTAAGTGATTTTATTAAGAAAAACTTCAAACACATAGCACAACTGAAAGATCCTTAGTGTACACCTCTGTATTAAGCCCAATTTTTCCTCACTATAATGAAACACCGAAAGCAGTGGACTTAAGAAAAAGAGGCTTAGTTAGCTTAGTTTTAGAGGCTTAAGGTGCATGCAGCAGCATGCTGGCTGTTGCAAGGACCCCTGACAAGTGGCAGGAGGAGCTGAGAGAGACTCAGGATTGTAAGTTTGCCCTCCCAAGGGTGCACACCAGGAGACCAAGACTCCCTTGCTAAAGTAGTGCCACCTCTCTGCTCCACTCCTGAAGGGTTATTTCCCTTTTAGGCCCAACCCAGAGACCAAACCTTCCAAGGCAAGCCACACCCACACGGTGGACACCTCTGCCCCATCACATGCACTGGACACTAACAACCCTCTGGACTGCACCCACATCGCTCCTGCCCATCCATCCTGCTATTCACCTTGATGTGCCTTATTTTTGGCACAAAAATAGGAAAAATGGAGATAGGGGTGGAAAACAGTCAGAATACAAAACAAAAACAGAAAAAAATCAAAGTCCTTCAAGGCCATTTGGAGAGCTAGAATCACAAATTCTGCTAGCAAGGAGCCAGCATGAGAAAAGGAACAAGCACAGCCATTTCTGTCTTTGCTCTGTTTGTAGATTTCCCAGCAGCTTCTAGCCAAAGGATTTTTGTAAAACAAAATCAAGAGAAATTATCTTTTTTCTTAAGAACCAGAATCAGGAAAGAAAAAGTTATTAAATATAACACAGTACTTAATAGTAGATCTTACACTATATTTTTATTAGACATTTAGAATTACCTAAAATTCTTAGGGCTGTTTCTAAAGCCAGTGCTGATAAGGATTACTTTTCCTTGTAAGATTGCGTGTGCGTGTGCATATGTGTGTGTGTGTGTGTGTGTGTGTGTGTGTGTGTGTATTGAAGGCACAGAGGTATTTCCAGGGTTGTGTGTGAGGAGAGAGACTTTCGTTACAAGTAATAGTCAGAGAGGTTGAGCTAAAAATACGGCAGCCAGATGTGCCAATGCATTAAGGAAAAATTACCTCTAATAAAACATTCCCTCTTCCATTGCAGTTTATAAACATTATGAAGCTTCTGGAAACAGAACCAGAATTGCAAATATATTTAAACAAGGTTAAAAAAAAAGAATTTTTGGGATATGGTATTAATTTAAAGATCAAACCCTACTTTCTATTTTTGTCCAGTATCCTGTGCCTGAGATATCATTTAGAAGCAAATAATTACATTCTACTTTTAGCTTGACTAAAAGGTAAGAGTCCTTTAGGTACAATGGAAAAAGAAACCCAAGAACAAAATGTCTTAATCCAGGAGAGGGAGGTCCACTCTGTGATGTCCTTCTACAATGGCGCTTCTAATCCAAGTTGGAATACTGGAACTTTAGTGTTGTTTACATTGACTCTCAAAGCCAGCACAGGACAGAAGCCCTGGAAAAGGAAAGCCAAGGAAAAGGCATGTTCAAAGACCAGCATTTTCATTTGGTCCAGAACAACGAACAATACAGAAGAACCTCAGTGGAAAAAGTGCCCATGTATATCCAGGATACATGTTCAGTCTCATGATTTATGTCCCAAACCAGGCAGCTCTTTCATTTTCTAGTCTGAAGCAACAAAGTACCTTGCATGGTAAACTGCTTATAAGGATGAAAATGGTTGGGTTGGATACTTACGAGGCTTCACTCCTGAAATGTTTTCTATGGTTTGTTTCAAAGCATTTTTTTGAGATGTTGCAAAAACCATACCCTGTGAATTTTTAAAACATGATTTCTCTTAAAAAGCTATAAAATCAAGAGAGCAAAAGCAAATTCCTTCCCCAGAGATTGCTGCAGCACACTCTGCCCAGGGGAGGTGTGAGACGGCACAACAGACCAGGTGGCACTTCAGTGGGCTGATGACAGGGAAGGGGGAAGGTGATAATCAGTTTCAGTGTTTTCACAACAGCCTGATGGGCAGCAGCAAGCCAGGCAAGCTGATGGAAGCCCTTTCTCATGCTTCGCAGGGCAGTGGGCAGATGAGCCCAGGCCCCACGCACCTATAGTGTTCCTGCTTCAACAGCTGCCAGGTTCCTAGGATATGCCCAGGATATCCACCATCTGCATGCGGTGGATACACCTCTCAGGGAATAGCAATCCCTGTTTCCAAGGAGCTAACAGGGCCCTAAGAAGGTGTGTGGGCATCGGTGCTCTGCAACAGCACGTGTGCTGAAGATGAATACTATGGCTGAGACTTTAGAGAGGACTTCACAAAGATCTGGAGCACGCCAGTCTACTCTGGAGAAACAGACCCAGCTGGGAGACCAGGCCCACAGCAATCCAGCTTCTTTAAGAGAAACCGCACCGAGCTAACAATGAGGGACAGACGAGGAGGGGGGAGGACAGCAGATGGGCCTGAAGTATTCACAGGACCAGAGGGGAAAGGCCACTGCCTACTGTGTCTCCATATCCCACAGAAAATGCAGCCTTACTCTAATATGCAAAGTGAGTCCCTTAGAGATTAGTTCTATCCAAATAAATAGCATTGTTATTCTCACATTACATATTAAATGTTCTCTTATAATACTAGCTTGCATCATTTTTACCCTGGATAATGTATATCTTTAAATTAAGTAGGATTATTCCTAAAATTTTTAGGAGCATTCAACCTCAGCTGATGCTCACTGCGATTAATTGACTCAATTAAAATGGAATTTTTCAATTAAATTCATTGAGTCATTTTGAACCCTAGTATTCTAGATTAAGACATTTCTTGGGGGGCTGGGGATTTAGCTCAGCGGCATAAGCTCCTGCCTTGCAAGCAGGCAGTTGTGAGTTCGATCCCCGGTACCGGTAAAAAGGAAAAAGACAAAAAAAAAAAAAAAAAAGCCATCTCTTGGAATCCACATCCTTCTCAGGCTCCTCTTCCCTTGGAACACTCACCAGCTTCTCTCTCACTCCATGCAAGAGCTTACACTGAGTAAGCTCTCTCATTACTGGCACACAGCACCCAAATACTTACAACCTAGAGGAGAGGTTCAGTTTGGTTCATGGTTCAAAGGATTCAGTGTATGGCCAGCTGGCTCCAAGGCAGAAACAGCACAATGGAAGGTGGTGGAGCAAAGCCGCTCACTTCATGACAGCCAAAAAAGAGGGACAGAGAGTTCCAGTGAGAGATACACCCTCAGCCCCAGTAACTCACCTACTGCAACCAACAGCACACTTAGCTATGGACATCAGTGGGTGAAACCACTGAGGCCTACCGTGCCCATGATCCGGCCATGTCTCCAAGGGGCTCCTACTCCAGTCACACTAACAGTAGGATTCACTGGTAAAGTCTCTTCAGAGTCCACCATTAAATATTTTTCTCTGCTTACATAGCTTTAAGGCCTCCCTCTGCCTTAAGAAAAAACCAACATATATAAATCAAAAACAAAGGAAACTTGACTTCTTGGTGAGAAAACAAGGACCTTAATGATGTGGGCCCTGACTAAACTGCTAGTGTCATTTTCTGCCTTGTGTGTGACCCTGATGTTCCAAGCCTCTCTAAACAAGCGATACAAAATCAGGCCTTTATACAAGTGTTCCCTTTACTTG